TTCATTCTTTGTCCTATATCGGACTTCATGCTTTAAGTGGCTATATAAGATCATTTCCGGAAAGGAAATTACTTCAAGATATCGTATTAAGGCGCCTTTTTCGTTATATATGATGTCGCATAAACTTTCAGAAAAAAGAAACAAAGATCATTGTTAAACTTGCATTAGTGCCGACACTAGCTCAGTTTGGATTCAGAATATAAGTTTTAATTTAAAACTTGCGTCTACAATACATTTTCTTGTTTTTGTTTAATTATTTTTATGAGAATTATTTCATGAAGTTGATTAATATATATATATATATATATATTTCTGATTTTTTCTTGTAACTTTTTTTCATATTCTGTATTTCACATGAAATCGTTTTTCTAAAAGAACAAAAAGAAAGCAAGTTTTTAATTATAGAACTATTAAACTAATTTAACACTTTTCGTATCATATGTATTATCAATGGTACACCTTAAACTTTCCATTCAAACCTTGTGTACCACTGGTAGTACACGCTGACATTTATTTAATGCGTCAAAACGTTAAATGGCTTGACATACGGAACGTATTAGAATGATTTTTTTTTCCCGCTTTTTTCTTCTTTCCTTTTATTTTTTTACCTTTTGACTGGTCCGATAGATAATACATCTATTATTAATAATTGCAGTATTAAGAGTAGTTACATAAATTATTTATAACATGAATCATTAATAGATATTATATTTGAATCTAGCTTATTTTTAACTATCATTAATTTTAATTGTATTATTTTTTGCTGTATTGTTGCATAAAAACAAGATTGGAAAAGATTATTGATAATTTACTTCCGTTAATTATAACAGATGTAATTGGAAACTTCACTGAACGCGCGAGGTTTCATCATTACATTGTGAACATTCTTAGATATTTACGATGCCATCAATTCGTTTTCATTTTATTAATTAATCTTTTTGAACAAAAAATATTTATAATAAAATAATGAAATAATAGAGAGAGAGAGAGATAGAGAACTGAATCGATAAGAAGTTGTTTGTTTTCATATCGTTTCTTTATGATATATTACAAAATTTTATTTTTCGGTTAATAAAATAACAAAAAAAAAAAGCTCCTTACTAATGTTAATTTATTTTATAGAGAATTTTATCTTTCAAGGAAATTTAAGAAACAACACAAGGATGAGCAAAGTATAAATAATTTGTTTGACCGTCATTGCGAACTTTCGACTGCGTAATCTATACCGGGTGAGTCGATGAAAATTATCACTTCAAATAAACCGTTATCTATTGACTACATTAAACAAATATTTTAAACAAAAATTTATATTTTCAGTCGAGTAATTTCATAGGATTAATATATTTTTTTTATTTTATGCCTCGTTTTTTTGTTTTTTGCTTTTCCTTTTTTTTTTTTTTTGGAAATAAAAGTATAAGTGTTACAATTATATACTCAACTATTTTTTTGTAAAGTCAATAAATAACGAGTCCATTTCAGGTAGTAATTTCTATTGACTCAACCTGCCGAACAAAATTATTGGAATAGTATTAATATTTCTTTAAATGTTCTCTATAAATCGTATTGTTCTATCGACTTTTAATGATACCACGTTGAAACGTGTACGGAAATTGTGACGGAAATAATTAATTTTTTAATTTCTTAAACTTGAATTATAGCATAAGGTTTTGACGATCATATATTATTTTTACAAATTATAATCGTGAGACGTACAATTCCACTTGAAAGAATGTTGGCAACTTTCAAAATATAAAAAAAAAAAATGATAATCACGTGCGTTATTCGAATTATGACTTTAAATGTTCCTGTATTTAAGCTTTTGGTTAAAGATGAATAATTTACAAAACAAATATTACATAAAGAATGATACTTAATTTTAACAGATTTACAAAAGATGTAGAAAAATTTGTGAATATTTTTGATCGGCACCGTATTTATAGATAACTAAGGATGGCATTTGAATTTTTTTAAATAAATTTATTTCCCTTATTTATTTGTGGTACTTATATTTTATCGATTTGTTATTCGGAAATGAAATATTTGGAACAATATCTTTACTTATCATTTCTTTTTCTTACCGTTTTTTTTATTCTTCTGGCTTGGTTATAGTTTTGATTTATTTCATCTATGTACTTCGATTATCGTACATTTTTCTTGGATGCAATTCTTGGACATAGTTCGAGTTTATTATGTATTCATATCGCTTTCTTTTTCTTTTCTAATAGCTATATGTCAAGTTCCCTTGCAATACCATTAGCATATTTGATATATGTGATAATATTTTCAAGTAGAAATAAAAGAGAGATATTATTTTGACATAGAGGTAAAAAGAATAAAAAATTCGTATATTCATAATTTAAGTATATAGTAGATCATATTTATCGATTTATTCATTCATCGATTTCTCATTGATTAAATAGGCAGGTGCGTAATAGGAACTCGGAATAAACAAAAGAATATATGTAATTTTTTTGTTTGTTACAGCATGCCCAGATGAAAATCGAAAACTTTTAGTCCTATTAAATCCAAAATCTGGACCCGGAAGAGGCAGGGAAATTTTTCAAAAAAGGATTCATCCTGTATTATCCGAAGCTGAAAGACCGTACGACATTCACATCACTAGATATTCTAATTATGCTCGTGAATTCATTCGTACCAAGGATATTTATCAATGGAGCGGTTTGCTAACAGTTGGCGGCGACGGGATCGTCTTTGAAGTCGTCAACGGCCTTTTTCAAAGACCCGATTGGGAGAAGGCACTTAATGAACTACCCCTTGGTGTTATACCCTGTGGTTCCGGTAACGGTCTGGCGAAATCTATTGCATACTCTAAACAGTAGGTTCTTCCTTCTCTTCTTCCACTAAGGAATCAATACTATTTAAATATCTTTCTTTCATTTTACTTCATATTAATTTTTTAACTGGGAATAACTAATTACCTTGACACCATAGTAAACAGCTTTCACTATTTGAAAGTATCAGGGAATGGAACTACAGTATTTTAAGAAATTTATTTGATAAATCGTATTTATATTATTGCATTTTATAATATTTCAATATTATATGTGTATTTGTAAATAATATATAAATATTTTTTTTTATACTTTCAGAGAACCATATGATTACAATCCTTTACTAATTAGCGCCTTATCTGTAGTAAAATGTAAGAAAGCTCCTATGGATATAGTACGCATTGAAACTCGAAACAAAATATTGTTTTCATTCTTATCAGTCGGATGGGGCTTACTTTCTGACATTGATATTGAAAGTGAGCGACTTCGTGCCATAGGTGGACAAAGATTCACTATTTGGAGTGTAGCACGTTTAATAGGATTGAGAACATATAAAGGGAAAATATCATATTTGCCTTGTGATAAAGTACTGCCAATAGAAGTTGTTGGCAATGGTAAAGTTTGTCATACAGATTGTACAAGTGATGGAAAAATAACACATTCTAGAAGTTATGGAGATGAATTAGATCGGTACTTTTCTAATATTCTATGTATTATAGTTACAATTACTTACTTAATTTCAAAATATAAAGTTACATTTTATAATAAAACTATTTTACAGATATGGAAATATAGTTGAATCAAAAAGTTTCCATGATGCCTGTGACGATAGTACTAATGAATTAGATTTGCCTCTTAATGGTTATAGAGATGATGAAGTTATAACTGAAAATATAACTCTTGAAACTGAAATTGAGGGACGACAAAGGCTAGACAGTTTCTATTCTGCGACTTCAGCAAAATCTACATACTTTAGTACTGGTTCTGTATCAAGTTATCATAGCATAGATGATAGCGATATAAGGGGACCTGGTATATTATTTTTCATATTATATTATAATTTTATGTTACTTGTTAATTTACAAATAAAGTTTTATCGTTTCATAGACGTTGAAAATATAACGACAAGTCAAGTTATGTATGGTCCGTCGTCAACGCTTCCAGCTCTGACTGCACAACTACCTGATTCTTGGGTTCAAGATCAAGGTAAAAATGTCTTATACATTTTCATGTCTTTTTTAATTTTAATAAGAATTTTATACAAACGGAGAGAATTTTTTACAGGAGAATTTGTAATGGTACATGCGGCGTATCAATCTCATTTAGGTCAAGATTATTTTTTTGCACCACGTGCAAAACTAGCTGATGGTATTATATGGCTTTTAATAGTTAAAGCTGGTATTACTAGAGCAAACTTGTTACAGGTAAGTTTATAAATATTTTTTTATTATTTGCAGTATATATATGAATTTTATTACATGGTAAAAAAGAAAATTAATTTTTTTATTTGTCACAGTTCTTATTGGGTTTAAGTACTGGGACTCATGTAAATTGCTCTGGTGTTAACATGATACCTGTCAAGGCTTTTAGAATAGAACCAGCAGATGGAACAAATGGTCACTTAACGGTAGATGGCGAAGAAGTTGATTATGGTCCATTACAAGCTGAAATATTTCCTTCTTTAGCAACAGTAATGACACCTTGACAAGGGTGATTATATCGGCAGAATCAATCAAATAGTACAATCCTTAAATTATAGACTCAAAGTTATAGTGAATAAATTTGTTATAAATCACATACTATCATATCATTAATTAATAAGTATTTTCAAATTTGCATATGGAAAGTCTAGGATATAATATTTTAGTATCTTAAAATGTAATCTATAATAATTTATTACTGTTAATATCATTTAACTATATATTTCAGTAACTTCGTTGTTATGGATTATGTGAATTTTCTACATTTTCTTTTTTGTTGTGTTTTTTCTATTTTATAAATGTTTTTTCAAATTCATTTGATTTTTAATATGAGTTTTCTATATAATATGTATAATACTAAAATTTACTTATATTTTACTAAAATATATAAAATCAGTATTTAAATAATAAATTTAACAGATGGGATATTTTAAGAAATGTTTTTCTTTGAAAGCTATGAAAGAGAATATAGATATGTTATAATAATAGTATACGAAAAGATTTTTAAATCGATATTATAAAAATTATTCGCTTAATCATAATTTATTATAATGTATTCGATTATGCTAGCATATTGTATCATATGTGTTATTGTCAACTTTTCGAATGAAAATATTAAAAAGTATGGCATTGCTAGCATGCAAAATTGATTGTGTATTATAGAAGGAAATTTTCTCGAGATCTGAAAAGTACATACATAAAATATTATATAAGGTGCTCTTTCGATATTCTACATCACTGAAAATCTTTCAAAAGAGAGAATGAAAAAGAGTTAAGTGATAGAAAAGTTAAAAATTTGTACAGTAAAATGTAGTTACTAATGGCACAGAATCTTTGATATCTATTGAAACCAATAATGTTATTTCATATATATTCTATATACTTATCTTATGGTTAGACGATTTTATTAATCAAGTTCTTACGTGAGATATATCAGAAATTGATGTTCTATTCTCTTTTTTTATTGCTCTCTGTATTAGAATCAACATAATTGTATGTGGTTTTATATATATGTGTTATATAATATATATATATAAAATTTAGAATTTTTTCTAAAAAAGATTTAACACCGTTTAAAAGAATTGCAAGAACAACGATAATAATTGACTATGGTGTCATCTTCTTTTTTTGACTCTTTTATGCTATTTACACATCCCACATTTTTAGGATGATGTGATTTCGTATTAAGATAATATGGTGCCAATAAAATTGTTGACAAATAATTAATCATTATAATGCAAAAAAGTTTCAAAAATTCCATCTTATAAATAAAAGAAAACTTGCATGTTGCCTTTATTTGTTGTAATAAAAAAAGGTATTTTTAGATTTTTACAAGAGGTACAAGTTTTACACATTTACATGTTAAAACTATGTACTACATATTATATCACTATACATACATTTAAAGGTATAGAATTTTAATAATTTAAGAAATAAATTATGAGTTACGAGTTTCAATTAAAATTTCTTTAAAACGTTATATAAATAAGGAGATAGTGATTTTTGAATAAACTTCCTATTAATGTAGTATATACAATATGAAAATAATATAATGTCGTGTTAATTATTTCTACCTCATTACTAAAGATTAGTTGTAATGAGATAATCAAGTATATTAACAAAAATTAATGATTTTATGCGATTAATTACATCGGTAGGCAATCTTAAACTAAATAAATCCGGGCAATATTTACTGTTTTATAAATATTTAAAAATATATTATAATTTAATTTAACTTTTTGAAAACTAATGCATTTTAATTGAAAGAAATATATTTTTGTATAATTTATTCCTATATCATTTATTTTACGTACAAGGGTTCTTTTTATATTTATATATCTTCTCTACACAGTAAAGTCCTTAATATTAATAATTATTTTAATTAATTAATAATAAGATTACACTGCAATATGAAAATATATAATGTGCTTTCTTAATCAATAAAATTAATTTTGTCAGATTCATATTCTTCCTATAAATAAAATATTTTATTTTCTATTTGTAATTTATTTATGTTTATTAAATTGTTTTCATTTCTAAATTGGAAATATTATAAAATGAAAATAGCAGTATAACCTTAATAATCTTATTTTCCCATTTATACAAGGTGTATGAAGTTTTTTCGTACCAATGTGAGCGCATTTTATGCTAAAAAAATAAGAAAAAAATGTTATATGAACATAGATAATTTAAAACTTTATTCAAAAGTAATAATATAAATTTAAAAACTGTCTAAATGTGCTATTTAAAGATGTATCTACGTACAGTAAATTCCCGTGTAACGTGGTTAATATATTACGCATTGAAAAATTTGTCTTCTAAAACGCGATTTTTTTTCAATTTTTCTCGAGATAATTAACAATTACTTGATAAGAACATATATATTAGATATATATATATATGGAGAAAATTCTTGTTTTAAAAAAAATTCTGTTTTTTTAAAAAAAACAATTACAAAATAGAGGAAATCGGTAACGATAAAGACACAACAATATAATACTCAATTAATACAAATTTAATTTTTAAATAATGGAAATTTACGTATCTTATTATATAGCGCGTTGTACGAGAGTTTACCGTATATATATATTTTTGTATTATAAGTTGTAGTTTAGTAAAGTTGTTTTATGTTAATACAATCAATATGTACACACGTAAAAGATATTACTTCGGTTATTTACAAGCTTATATGTACGCAGAAAATATTGAAATATGTATGTATCTTTGAAAAGGTGAAAATTACGATCTTAAGCTCTAATCTTAAATAGCAAAAACAGTATAATGTATATAACAAATGTTTCTTTATATGCATATTTTGTAAAAGTTCTTCTAAAACATATTATAAACAATATATAGCATAGTTAAGAGATAATTTACCTTTTACCGTAAACAATTACAAATGTTTCTTTAAAAAAAGAAATTTAATAATACATTATCTTTATTATGTGCCTGGTTTTGTCAAATTGATTAGAAGATTAATAATTATGACCTTACAATATCATAATGAATATAATATACACCGATCCCTTCATTTATGCTGATTGATCGTTCCGCGTTGATTTTTTTTATGTGAACAAAAATCGCGTAAATAATTTACTTCTATAAAAAAAGAACATGGTAAGAAAAACAAGTAATTGTTATAAAAACATTTAAATCGCATAGATTAATAAAAAAAAAAATAATGATATTTTAAACAATCAAAATAAGTTTTATTCGATGTCAGAATCTGTACTGCTGTATGTAAACCTATCTGACTGCATAAGTGCAGGAATAAGTGTAATATACAAGGTGGACCACGAATCGTGATCAGTAGGAATTATTCTTGTTATTGGCAAAAAATTCAAGATTACCTAGAAAAAAACTTGAAAAAAAATTTACAAAACATTTGCTACATACACGTTAAAACTCTCTTGAAACAATGCTATAAATAATATAAATATTTTCGATCGAATTGCTAATAAAAGAGTAATCTTCACTGATTACGATTCGTGGACCACCACGTATAATATAAAGTAAATTTAATATAATTTTTAATAAAAAATAAAATAAAGTAGATAACTGAAAATGATAAACGCGTCATTTTTTAGTTAAAATTAATGACAAGTATGACATTTATAAATCCTTCAATTTTTATTTTTATAGCAATGTAGCAGTAGAATTGATATGAATGTTAAAAATGCGACAAGTTATTTATAATTGAAATTTCGCAACTGACAGACCAGGACTTTAAAATTACAAGTATTAAAATAAAGATTATAATAGACAAAGAAAAAAAATGATGAGTTCTTCAAGATGTTAAACATAACACAGCTACAACTATTGTTAATTCTCATAACTTACTTTGTTTATAAAATGTTTAGTATTCCTATTGTATTGATATACTATGTATAACATGATGGATAATATTCATAGTATATTAATACAAGTAGTTAATTTGTAATGTTAAGAGAATCTATATTAGCCAGTAAATCTTTGACATCATCCTGTACTTGATCAGATGTATTAGATAGCGAAAGACGAGAGCAAAAGCTACTAAGCGTTTCAACTTGTTCAGACATATCTTTTTGTTTTTGTACATATACCATTAGCATACTAATTATATTATGTACTTCTTCTTTAATTTTAACCATATCGTCTTGAAGAGGTTTTCTATAATCTTGCATCATTCTTAATTTTTTCTGCGCTATTCGTAACGGACTGCAACCATACTTATCCAATGAGTGTACATTTGTTCCCGCCCTTAAAAGCAATGTCACTACTGATATATTACTTGCAACTGCTGCTAGATGAAGCGGAGTATTACCTACGATGTCACGTTTATTAGGATCTGCACCATGCTCCAAAAGTAAATTTACTATTGCTTCGAAGCCTCTGCATATAGAAGTATTCAAGAATTATTATTATATATTATTTTGTTTTGTGTTAAATATTATCTACCTGCATGAGGCTAAATGAAGAGGTGTACGTCCTTGTTCATCACGACTATCTGGTGAAACACCAGAGATTAACAGTCTTCTCATTAATTCGATATTGTTTGTGTAAGCTGCAAGTCGCATTTTACGTTCCATAAATTTCTCTCGAAAGTCTTTCCAACCAAAATGATCAGTACGGAGGTAATGTAGTGATCTCATCTTTCTTGGAATAATTTTTATGCTTTTTACTTCTCTTGATACAGGAAAAACTCTATTTGAAGGAGTATAAAACCCCTAAAATATAAATATATTGCACAATTAATACAAAGCAAACGATCATAATGGTTCCATATTATCTAACTTCATTGTTCTTAATAACATGAAGAAACTCTTACCTGTGGCGGATATACAACGAGTTCTCCCGATGTACTGGCACCCGAATTATGACTGATATCAACAAAATTATAATTTCCATGTCTCGAACATAATGAAGATATGGGTAAATTCATATCCATTGACCAAACTGGTTCTACTACTAACCGAGAAGTATTCTGTTTGTTTTCTTGTCCTTGATTTTGACTGCTAATTATACTCGTAACGGTTGTAGAAGTATTACAAGTGATCTGGCTACCAAGGGCCTCATGTTGTACAATTAAACTATCATTTGAATCGTTTCCAGTCTCAACGCCAGAATCTACCGACGTCATATTGTATCTAAATGTTTTGCAATGTTGAAATGCTATTCACACAGAGAAAGAAAGAAACAGACAAAGAAATAGACACGATGTTTATCAAACTCTCTCTATATATATATATGTGTATGTATATATAAATATATATTCACCTGAGTATTTGGAAATCAATCTGTGCCAAAATAATAACAGAGATACTAAAAGACTCGCAAATCAGCTGGTTTTCAATTTGCTTGTACTACGAATCACAGAGAACCTGATAGTTGTTCTTAGTTAGTATAGAAACATGTAAACATAGTAAGGCACCCGAACGTCGAATGTGACGCCGCCTATTTTTATGGGTATTGAACTATACTATATAGGTAATTTTTTGTTATTAATGGTTCTTTTTGGGGAAAAAAATTTCAACGAATAAACAGACTCTAAAACATTAGCCAACATCGATCAAACAAGACTAAATCTTTGATACATATTACTACTATCCGAATATATCCCTTTTATTGCTGGATTTGATAACATTGGTACAAAGTGTGATTTGAAGTCTTGTAAGATTATTATTCTATGCTTGTGATATCCAAAACTATGGCGCCCGAGTGAAAGACGCTTAATCGAGAATACGGAGCTTTAGAAGATTTATAGAAATAAAGTAAAACAATAATTCGAGAGAAATGAGTAATCTTTCACCATTCGGTGGTGGAAAGAATCCACCTTGGGTTCGTAATACAGGTAAGATAATATTATAAGTTAATATAAAATGGAAAAGTTGCTTGTCGTTTCGTGTGCAGAAAACAATGTTGCCAAATTTGTGTTAAAATTTATATAAGTTGAAAAAACTTTTTTCAGGATATTACTTACAATATAATTATAATGAAGTAATTATTCATATTTATAAGTAAGAGACCGTAATTTTATTGAAAGATTGTATATTTTATTAATATTTGAAAATAATTATTCTAGATTTGTATGTTTGTGTGTATGTGCACGCGAGCGCTTGTTAGTGTGTACATGCACACGGGTGGGCGGACGATGTATAAAATGATATTAAAATCTATACAAATGAATGATTTCATTATTTTTTATTACAATGATAAAAATAATTATAATATTCTATTCTCAAAGCTTATTTTTGATATCTCTTGTATGAATTAAATACTACTTTAATTTGGATAGAGTATGTAGCAATGTATTTAATTGTATAATTTGTTATTTGTTTCATTAAATAGAAAGTACTTTGATTATATAACAAATATCAAATAATACTTCACATTTTTATTATATTTTATTTCTTTGGATTTGCATTTATAGGACAAGGTATTCAAAATATTCAACAGCAAATGTTAGGTCAGGCAATGGGTACTATTGGGGGACAACCTATGGTTCAATATCAACAGCAAACACAACAAGTCTATCAACAAAGCTTGGGTTTACAGCAGGTCAATGAAAAATTGATATTATTATCAATTAACACAACATTAAATTTATAATTATTTGTTTTTCTACAGCCCAATATAACAATGGCTTCAATGGCTACTCTCGGTTCTAATTTACCATCTGGAATTGCTGGGCAATTGTATTCACAAGTTGCTACAGTTTCTTATCCGACTCCAAGAGCTTTAAATACAAATGCATTTCAACAGTCTGTAGCTGGTGTGCCTCAACAAGTACAACAGAATGTACCTTCATCATCGCCAAAACAAAGAGTCTTTACAGGAACAGTTACTAAAGTACATGATAATTTTGGTTTTGTTGATGAAGATGTATTCTTTCAAACAAGGTGAGTAAAAGAAACTGATCAATTTTAATTAAAATCATTTAACACGTTCATACTGAGATGTGCCACCAGTGGTACATGTATGACTCTTCTATTGGGTGATTTGTATCACTAGCAGTTCATGTATAGTTGTTCCACTAGTATTACAAATGTTATAGGTAAACCATATAATTTGCTGTATCTAATGGAGAAAATTGCAAGAATTTGAGTTGCTCGGTGTTGAAACATTCAATATACGGCCCTGTTGTGAATGTGTTAAATTTACTTCTAATCATTTGTATTTCAGTGCTTGCGTAAAAGGTTCTAATCCAATAGTAGGAGATCGTGTACTTGTAGAAGCATCTTACAATCCTTCCATGCCATTTAAATGGAATGCTACAAGAATACAAGTATTACCTATGGTAAATAATAGTAACAATACTAATACACAGCAGACGAATCAAGGTAATCGACAACAACAACAAGTTAACCGACCATCGGGAACTTATAACGCCGTACCTCCTCCTGCAGAAAATTCAAATAATAGGTATAAGTGATTTAATAATAAAAATTTCCCTGAAAAATTGAAAAAATTGGTTTTATACCACTGAGAGCAGGACACGAAATAAATAGCATTGACCGTATCTAATAATATTTTTTCTTTACATTGATATTCTGCATTTAAATGTTGAAAAATAATTTTGTGATTGGAAGGTTTTCAACTGCCACAACAAATACAAATATGACTAGTAATCGTAATAAAGTTGGGAGAGTTAGGGAGAGATCACCGCGTGAACGTAGGAATGAAGAGGAAGAGATTGAAAGAAAGCGACGTCGAGAAGAAAGAATTAGAGAACGAGAAAAAAAAGAAGAACGCAGTCCATCGAGAACTAGAAGAAGTAAATCTCCTAGACCTCGTAGACGTACCAGGGTAGTGCCGCGATATATGGTTCAAATACCAAAAATCGCCCTTGATTTGTTAGTAATCTACACGTTACCATTTCTTACCTCCACGAATTAATAATTATCAATTAATCTTAAGTAATATTATCGTTTATTAATTACAGACCTGAAGCGGATGTCCTTGAAATAAGAAGACGTTATCAAAATATGTATATTCCTAGTGATTTCTTTTCGACTAACTTTAGATGGGTTGATGCTTTCCCACCACATATGCCATTTACCCTAAACAAACCTTGCTCTTTTCATGTTATGCACAAGGATGTAGATCCATGTACAGAAAATGCTGCAGTACTAGAGCCTACTGATGCCGATTATCTCTTTTCTGCAAAGGTTTGTTAAATTATATAAATTAATTAATTAGCAATTCACTTGTCTTGTATTTTATTTTTTTTATTTGATTTAACGCAGGTTATGCTTATATCAATGCCTGCCATGGAAGAAATTTATAAGAGATGTTGTGGAGTCTCAGAGGACAGAGACCCAGATCGTGACTATATACATCCCACACGCCTTATAAATTTTTTAGTAGGCTTACGAGGTAAAAATGAAACAATGGCTATTGGTGGACCATGGAGTCCTTCCTTGGATGGGCCAAATCCCGAAAAGGATCCTTCGGTATTGATCAGAACGGCTGTCAGAACCTGTAAAGCACTTACAGGGATAGATTTGTCCAGCTGCACTCAGTGGTACGATTTTGCAAATATTGGTATTCTTTTATGTAACGTATGTTTAAATTACAATTACAGATCATTTTTTTTTCTTTTTCTTTTTCTTTTTTAATTTTTATATTTCTTTTTATTCATTTTTTTTTTAATCGAAGCTCTCTTTTTTTGAGCAATGTGATGTTTACAAATTTTTCTGCCCGTTATAATGCACCATTGAAATATTCGGTTATTGAATTTCCATAAGTCATTATTATGGTAAATTTCGATTTCAATTTCTTTTAATAATCAGTGTCATGTTGCCTTCTTATGACTTCGAACTTGTACAGTTCGCAAAATTACATTGTACATAGTTTTCTTGAGAGAGAAGTTACTAAAGTTTAATTAGCATGGCGTAGCATTAAGATGCGTCTACGACAGGGTATACCGTTCGTGATCGAGAAAAAAAAGAAAGGAATGTAGATTGTAATAAGTTTTTCACTTGATAAACTAAGATTGTAGCTAAATCTCTACATAGGAGGTACGTATTTATTTTATGCACGACCAACCAACGAAGATTGCTGTGCACTGGATCCTGTTTCAAGCACCTCAACGATGAAATACGAGCAGTCGCGGCAGACAAATCATCACTATTGTTCAATTACTGTTGTGATCTACTCATTTGTGCTTTCTCAAAATGGTCTACGTTGTACGCTGTGCGTGGCTTTGTATGCAGTGCGTGGGCTTAACGAACAAGCGAACGATCACTTAGCATATAAGGCAAGGCTAAGCAGCATTAATCTGAGTTGACGTTTGGGTATTGTTTTTCCTTGCGGCACAGGTACCGCTTCCTGGAACTCTACTACAGACGTGCAGAAACGACCCACAAGTCAGGGCGAGTGGTGCCCTCGCGCGTTGAAACCGTGATACTATTTCTCCCAGATGTATGGAGCTGTGTGCCTACCAGATTGGAGTGGGATGGGCTACAACTCAACTATAAGAAACAACTGGAACGAAAATTGCTGCGTGCTGCCTCTAACCCCGACGATTTGGATGCTGCCAATGACACTGATGAGGCTGCCGTCGCTGATCAAAAGGCACTGCCAACATCATCCCATAATATTTTTACCTTTTTATTATCTTATTATGTATACATGCAGCTGTTTCCTACTACTAAACTGAATTTTCAGTAGGCGATAATTGCTCATCGATCCAACTTGTATTCCAATTCTTTCTTTGAGAATCTATATTCTTTTGCGATTACTTTCTCTACTTAGACATTTTAAAGCATATTATCTATTCAGTGAGAGATTAATCATAGATATAAATTCTATACATCGAAAAAAAAAAAGGAATGTATTGAGATGTTAGTAGCTTTACGTTATAATATTTTTTAGTTTAGTTTCTTAACATTTGTTATAAGGAGGAATATATTTGGCATTGTTCATAGTAAAAATATATCCATAAACAAAAAAAGATACTATTTAACTATAATGTTAATTAATATTAAAAGTCAATTTTTACATAGAATTAGTAGCATAACAGTTTTTGGTAGTTCTCTTAGTTTTCTTATTATCAAATAATTATATTAGATCAGGTGTAAAAATGATCGATGGGTAATGTATTGCAGATTCTCCCTTAGCCATTGGCAGTTTCATTGCATTAACAAGAGACGCAAGCAAGCCTAGCTCGGAGAAGAGCACAGCTGAGCCATTCCTATTCCTGATACCTTCACCTCTATCATTGATAAATTATTCATTCATTTCATTTGCTCATCGTTATATACTACTACATTACTGGTAATATCCATAACCTATCAACGACACAGACACCAGAGCCAGGACACTATGAGAATTTAGCAGTTATTTAAGTCATACTTGAGGGACATCGTGAATGAAGAAAGGTGTATCATTACTATGTGAGAGAATGATTAAAGAGAAGAATGGCGAAAGAATG